AGGATGGGGGTGGGACCCTTGAGGGATGATAAAGGAAGACTAGTATCTGATGACTATGAGATGGCTGGGTTATTAGATTTTGTTTTTTCTTCATTTTTACTAATGAAGATTTAAGTAGTATTCCCCATTTTGAACAGTTGATAGATGGTAACAAGATCGAACTAGATGACTGTGTTAATTCTGAGCTGGTTAAGAAAAAAATGGGAAGTTTAAAAAAACGATAAGGCTCCTGGGCCAAATAATATTTTTCCAAGGGTTTTGAAGGAGGTTAAAAATTGGATATGTGAGTCACTTACTACTATTTTTTGTCAGTCCTTGAATAGTGGGCAGGTACCAGAGGATTAGAAGTTAGCTAATGTAACTCCTCTTTTCAAGGGAGAAGATAAAAGTTGTCCCAGTAATTATAGACACATTAGTCTTATATCAGTTGTGGAAAAGTTTTGGAAAGTCTGTTAAAAGATTCTTTGCAAAGTCATTTAACAAAGTTTAGAATTTTATTGGATAGTCAACATGGTTTCACTAAGGGAAAATCTTGCCTTACAAATCTCTTAACATTATTTGAAAATATTACTGCTTATGCAGATGAGGGTAAAGATGTAAATTTGGTGTATCTGGATTTTCAAAAAGCATCTGACAAGGTGCCACATAAAAGGCTTATAAAAAAATTAAGCTCTATAGGTGTGGGGGATAAGTTAGCAAATTGAATAGAAGAGTGGCTAGATGGAAGAGAGCAGAGGGTTGTTACAAATGGAATTTAGTCAAACTGGATTAATGTCACAAGTGGGTTACCTCAGGGCTCAGTCTTAGGACCTTTGCTCTTTTCGATTTACACAAATGACATAGATGAAGGGATAGTCAATAAATGACTTAAATTTGCAGATGATATGAAGATCTTGGGTGTTGCTAGCTGTGAAGTGGATGCCGCTGATTTATAAAAGGATTTAGATCATTTAGTGTGTTGGGCAAATAAATGGCAGATGGGTTTTAATTTTGATAAGTGCAAAATAATGCATGTGGGTTATCATAATTTGATAAGTATAATTTGGATGGGAATAGCCTTAATAGTGTTATTAGGGAAAGGGATCTTGGTGTAATAGTCGATCAGTCTCTTAAGCCATCCAAGCAGTGTGCTGTTACTAGTGGTAGGGCAAATAGGATACTAGGTTGTATCCATAGAAATATTGAAT